TTTTTTTTTTTTTTTTTTTTGCAATCAGCACGTTGTGAATATATATTTTGTTCAAGACCCTACAAATGACTTCTATTTTCACAAGAGATTAAGTTAACAATTTAGTCTAATAAAAATAAAAAAAATACCTTTAAATGTGAACAAATAGACTAATTCTGAATTGAGAATATTTTGGTAACTTTATTGATAAAATTAATATCAAACCTCTAGTGTCACTGGTTCACATCAGTAAGAAATAGGAGTCTTAGGTATATAAACATGAGTCTTTCTTCATTTATTATTGTATGAATAACCTTATAAGAGATATAAAGATCGAAATAGACCCAGACTAATGTAAAGGGTAAAGTGTCACAAATCCCACAAATAAGGTGATTTTTGGGTATTTAAATATGAGCCTTCCTCTACCTAACGGGTAAGAACATAGATTACATTATGTAAATTAGGAAAAACAGATATCCATAGAGTGTTAGTTGTAGAAAAGAAATTACAAGTCACCATATGAAAAAAGTTAAAAACTACAATGTCAATTACAAGTCGCCATATGAAAATAGTTAAAACCACAACGGCTAGTGACATCAAGTAGGAACGTAAGTTATATGATGTTAATTGGGAAAAACAGATATCCATAGAGTGCTAATTACAAACAAAAGAAATTACAAGTCAGCATATGAAAAGAGCTAAAACCACAATAGGTATAGGTGGAGTTTATCCTGTGTTAATTGCAAAAAAAAAAAATTACAAATCGCAATATGAAAAAAGTTAAAATCCTAATAGGTACAGGTGGAGTTTATCTTAATAAATAATAAAAGATAAGCTTCAAATTTACCACTTTACTTAAAATGATCAATCAAATATATCACTCATCTTTTCAAAGATGCAATTTGAATAGCCAAAAATTTATTAAAAAAAAATCCATTAAAAAATAAAGAAATCTTTTACTAAATATTTTATTTTTTGACCACAATTAAATTAAATTAGGAAGTACAATGAAAAAATTGCACTTGATAAAGACGAATGGTGAAACTGAACCATGGTCATAAAAGTAATAAATTTGGATCTTATCCCAAATAATATTTTTAAATAAGTAAAACTTAAAATTAATCCTTGTGATAATAAAATGCATAATCTTTTAGTTGAATAACCTTTTTTGGGATAATCTCTAATTCTTATCTCTATAGTGTTAATAAAACTAATGAACTTAACTAATCCATTAATGTCTTAGCCTTTCTCTTACTCTCGTTTAACTTGCTTTTTGTTTTAAGGCTCAATAAATATTTTTGCCAATAGAATACTTGTAGACTGAAGCACATATGATAAGCACTAAATGAAGCATAGTTTGTTATCATAAAAAATTAATATAGAATTAATAGTCTCTTTTTTTTTATGATTACAAAACACTCATTGACAAGAGCGTAATGCCAATTAGATTCAAAAGAGTATAAATAGTGTATGTGTGTTTGTATCAAAGTAATATCAAAATACTAACTTATTTATATATGCATGGTTAGGGAAATTTTGAAAAAGAAACTAGAGACATTTAATATCAAAACTCTCCTTGAATTCGTGCAATAATATTCAAAAAATCATAAAAAGTCAAAACAATCTAAAAATTCCCATATTCGGTAGACATAATAACAAAAAGGATATTTTTCATTTTTCATTTCTCCAAAGAATATAAAGCTCCCTTTTTATCATTCCACTTCTCTTTTTGTAAGAATCAAAAAAGCTTACAGAGAAATATGCTGCATAATAAGGATCATGCAAGTTCATATGTTGCAGTATGAATACACACACACATATGTCAAATGCCAATAGTATCATACATATGATTCTATGCAAGTCATGATGTGTAAGCACACAAAATGTTATCACGGTCAACTACTATCCTATGCATGAACCAAAATTCTCGAGTTAGTGAAGTTTTTTCATCAAAACTTGAGTATCAAGGTTTAAGTTAACATGGAAGTCTAGAAAGGTCGTCAGCAAGAGAGATTTCAAGATTAGGATTCTATTAAAGGCCATCATAAAAACAAGGTCGACAGGGTTAGGATTATAGATATCCCTTTTGACTTCACCTTACCTTCTTTTAATGTACTTTAATATTATGTTGAATTTTTCAAGTCTATTAATAATAAAATTCATATTTTTCTCCGTTCTCTTAACAACCTTAAGTATGACCTCAAGTGTTAATGCATGTTGCCTTTTTTTTGCAAATGATTGTGAAAGTGAAGGAATGATAGCTTGAACTACAAACTGTTCTTCACAGTTTGAATTTTTCTTAAGTTATTCCCTTCTTTCTAGCTTGTATTGCATTGAGTGAAAGAATTTGGTTCCATAAATAATGGCTAACTGAGTAAGTTTAAGGGTGTATCTCTCACTCAAAACACCTTTGTTCATGGCAATAATAGTAATGATATTTGCATAAGGAAGAGCACCATTCTCAAACCTTTATAAAATTGTGAGTAAGTACTCTTTCCTTTTCATCTTCTTTATTAGATTCATTCTTTATCTTTTCAAATTTTCACATTTTAGTATTTAAGGTTTGTCCTAAAGCGTTCTTATTTTTAACTCTACTCTAAAAGGTCAAGTTTTTATTTAAGAAACTAATTCACCCTCTTCTTGATTACTTTACTTTAAGCTTCTTTATCTAACAATTGGTATCATAGCTTAGTTCTTAAGTTTGCAAGTTTAATGACCTTTGAGTGATACGAGAGAAAGCTTAAAGTAATAAAGATGGCATCTTCAAGCTTTTTTGGTGAAGGTTAGTCCATGATAAGACCTCCTCTATTTTCAAGAGAAAACTACATCTTTTGGAGAAAGGGGTTTGAAAATTTTATTCAATCTATTTATCTAGATTTATGGGATATCATTAAAAAAAGACCCCATGTTCTTAGTAAATTTGTAGAAAGTATAAGAGTGATTAAAACTAGAGCTGAATGGGATGATTAAAACAGAAAATTGATTCAACTGTATTACAAGGCAGTAACAGCTTTGCAGTGTGCACTTAGTGAAAGTGGGTTTAATAGGATAGTAATGTGTACATCAGCTAAGGAGATTTAGGATACCTTAAAAAACTATTATGAAAAAACTAGCCAAGTAAAGGAGTCCAAAATTGGATTGTTGCCTCAAGATTATGAGCTTTTTAAGCTGAAAGAGGAAAAACCAATAAAAGAAATGTATGAGAAGATTACCAAAATAATAAGTGGATTAAAAGCCTTAGGAAATGAGTTTCCCAATGCCCAATTAGTTAAGAAAATCCTTTATAGTCTCCTAGATCATGGAAACCTAAGGTTACAGGTATAGAAAAAGCTAAGAATTTGAACAACCTTAACCGATATGAGTTGCTCAGTTCTCTTCTCACTTATGAGATGACACTAAAATATGAGAGTGAAAGAGATAAAGCTCTTAGAAAAGATAACAAAAGAAAGGGTTTTGCTCTTAAAGCTACCCAGGAAGATGAAGAAAAGATTATAGAGAATGATAAAGAAGAAAATGAGGAAGTAGTCTTGTTAACTAAGAAGTTTAATAGATTTTTAAGAAACAAACAACATGGTAGAAGTAGAAGACCTTTTAAGAGAGATGAATCAAAAGGAAACCTAAGGAAAAAGCCACAAAATGAATAATCAAGCAAAGATCACCATTTGCTATGTGTGCAAAAAATCGAGACATACTGAATATGAATGTACAAATGTTAAAAGAAGCTATCCAAAGCATGCAAAGAAAAGGTAATGATAGCTACTTGGAACGATGAAGATAAGTCACAAAGTGAAGAGGATGAGGACATTGCAAATATTTGTCTTATGACTCTTGATGATCACAAGAATGAAGAAGATTATTTGAAATCAAGTTCACATAAAAGGGAATTACATACCTTGAGGGTGAATGTTTAAGCAACATAACTAGTATCAAGGAGCAAATCGTGGACTTGAAAGCAAACGAAGATGTGATCTTTAAGGACAACTCAAAAATTAAAGGTGAAAAAAGTTGTGCTATCACTCCTACGGCCATTGACTTTATTGGAACAACCTCCAACAAAGGACAATCAAGTGTGAAGCCTCCAACTTTCAAGGTTGAGAATTACATGTATAAAATGAAATGAAGTCATTTGTTCAAGCAAATGACTATGAAGTTTGAAGGATAATTGAAAATGTTTCACTCAAGTTAACCAAGAAAATAAGTGAGTGGGACAAAAATGACTTAAAAGTACTAAAACTCAATGCCAAAGCCATGCATATCAGCTTCTGTACTTCAAGATTGTGTGTGATACAACAAAGTCTTTGTGTGTGATAGCACTAAAAAAATATTGAAAAAATTAGAAAAGTTGTATGGAGAAGAAACAGAACTAGAAAAAGAAGATTGTGAGAGCTATTG